CATCATCATCATCATCATCATCATCATCATCATCATCATCATCATCATCATCATCATCATCATCATCATCATCATCATCATCCAAACAAAACTATATACAAAATAAAATATAATTAAAATTTAAAAAAAAAAAACAAAAAACAAAATAAGAAGAAAGACAAAGGTGGCTCCCCTTTATAAATGACGTGGGATCATTTTGATACCACATTGAAAATATAATAAATAATATTTTTGGTGTTTTGATAAAATATAAACTGTTAAACAGACGAATTTCTTAAAATTTTGACAAATAATCAAATTACAACAACAACAACAATAACAACAACAACAACAACAACAACAATAATAATAATAATAATAATGATAATAATAATAATAATAATAATAATAATAATAATAATAATAATAATAATAATAATAATAATAATCCAAACAAAACTATATACAAAATAAAATTTAAATTTAAAAAAAAAAATAACAAAGGGGAGTCACGGGCTCCCTTTGTAAGTGATGTGGGATCATTTTTATCACACATTGACAATGTTTGAAAAGAGAGAGCTCATCTATATAAGAGGAGCAATGATCCCCTTACAAACTTAATTGCTTGCCCATCAATGTGGGTAAGTATTGAGATGTCAAAAGGTTCTTATTTAAGAAACTTTATCTTAATGGCTTCTTATTTTAGTTTTTTTTTTTAGTTTTTTAAATTATTAGGGGATTTGGGAAAGATTAACAAAAAATGTATATGTGTTGTTTTAGTTTTTAGCAATTTGGAGCAAATTGTTAAGTTATTAAATAATATTTTTGGTGTTTTGATTAAATATAAAATGTTAAACATGCGAATTTTATAAATTTTTGACGAATTTACCAAATAATCAAATTACAATAACAACAACAACAACAATAATAATAATAATAATAATAATAATATTATTATTATTTAATAACGAGGAGCTTGATACAAAATAATAATAATAGTAATCCAAACTAAACCATATACAAAATAAAATAAAATAAAAAATAAAAACAAAGGAGAGTCATGGGCACCCTTTGTAAATGATGTCGGATAATTTTGATCCCACCTTAAATTAAAAATGTTTGAAAAGAGAGAACTCCTCTATATAAGAGGAGCATTACTCCTCTTACAAACATAATTGCTTACCCAACTATGTATGCAAGTATTGAGAAGTCAAAAGATTATTATTATTTTTTTTTTGAAAAACAAAAAAGGTTATTATTTAAAAAGCCTTAGCTTTGTCTTCTTATTTTAGTTGTTATTTATTTATTTATTTGTTATTATTTATTTATTTATTATTAGTGGAGGTTGTGAAAGATTAACTCAAAATGTATGTGTTGTATTTGTTTTTACTTGTTTGGAACAAATTACTGAGCTATTATATCATTTTTTTTTTGTATTTTGATTAAAGTTAAAATGGCAAATTTATTAAAATTTTGGTGAATTTATCAGTAATCAAATTACACTGAGCACTTTCAAAAAAAAAAAATTACACTGAGCTATTATATCATTTTTTTTTTTTGTATTTTGATTAAAGTTAAAATGGCAAATTTATTAAAATTTTGGTGAATTTATCAGTAATCAAATTACAATAATAATGGTATCCGGTTTGGACTTCCATTTGGAAGGTTGTGAGTTCAAGCCTCAGTGGAGGCGTTATTGGTTCTTTGTGTTTCAGTAGGTTGAGAAAGTATATGAACAGATACTACAATGTAATAGGGCCAGTAACATTCAAAAAAAAAAAATTACAATAATAATAATAATAATAATCCAATCAAAAGTCAAAACGATATACAAAATAAAATTAAAATTAAAAAAAATAAGAAGAAGACAAAAGGGAGCCACGAGCTCCCCTTTGTAAATGGTGTAGGATCATTTTGACCCTACATTAAAAATGTTTAGAAAGAGGAGTTTTTGAGCTCCTCTATATAGGGGGAGCAATGCCCCTCTTACAAACATAATTGTTTGCCCATCAATGTGCGCAAGTATTGAGAAGCCCAAAGATTTTTATTTTTTTAGTACTATTGAATGCTACTTGTTTGCCCATCAATGTGCGCAAGTATTGAGAAGCCCAAAGATTTTTATTTTTTTAGTACTATTGAATGCTACTGGCTCTATTATAATTATTTTTAGTACTATTGAATGCTACTGGCTCTATTATAATTATTCAACTGAGGCTCGAACTCATAACCTTCCAAATGGAAGTCCAACCCGGGTACCATTAGACCACATAGTCTTGATTATAATTATTAAGATATAGTTTAGTAATTACGAACATAGAATTGTGTCCACCTTGCAAGGTGGACACGATTCCACAGCATAACTATTCGATTGACCCTATTACATGTAATATCGTTCATATAAACTTTCTCAACTTATTGAAGCCCAACGAATCAAAAGGCTCTTATTTAATAAACCTTATCTTAGTGACTTCTTATTTTAATTTTTTTTCTTTTGCCAAATAATCAAATTACATCAACAACAACAACAACAACAACAATAATAATAATAATAATAATAATAATAATATTCCAAACAAAACTATATACAAAATAAAATTAAAATTAACAACAAAAAAAAAAAAAAAAAAAAAAAAGATAAAGGGGAGCCACAGGCTCCCTTTGTAAATGATGTGGGATCATTTTGATCCCACATTGAAATTTTTTGAAAAGAGGAGTTCTTGAGCTCTTCTATATAAGAGGTACAAAGTACAAACATAATTGTTTGTCCATCAATGTGGCAAATATTGAGAAGTCAAAATGTTTTTATTTAAGAAACCTTAGCTTTGTCTTCTTATTTTAGTTTTTTTAATTATTTATTTATTATTTATTATTTATTTATTGTTAGTGGGGGTTGGGAAAGATTAACCCAAAATGTATCTGTTGTTTTAGGTTTTAGCAGTTTGGAGCAAATTACAGAGTTATTAAATAATATTTTTGGTGTTTTAGTGGTGAATTTGTTAAAATTTTGATGAATTTATTAATAATCAAATAATAATAATAATCCAAACAAAACGATATACAAAATAAAAATAAAATTTAAAAAAAAAATAAGAAGAAGAAGAAGAAGACAAAAAGGGAGCCACAGGCGCCCTTTGTAAATATTGTGGGATCATTTTGATCTCACATTGAAAATGTTTGAAAAGAGGAGCTCTTGAGATCCTCTATATAAGAGGAGCAATGTTCATCTTACAAACATACTTGTTTTCCCATAAATGTGGGCAAGTATTGAAAAGTTCAAAGTTTTTTTTTTTTGGTTGAGAAGTAAAGGAAAATTAAAATGGAAAGGAAATATTTCAATAATAATATTTTACATAATCAAATAGTAAAGACATATTTTAAAAAATAATAAAGGTAAATAAAAAATGGAACGAAGATATTTCATTAATAATATTCAACATCATCAAATTAAAATGGAACGTAAATTAGGTAAAAATATCACTGTATCTATATTCAAATTGACTAATTGACTGGAAAAAAAAGGAATAATTGATTGAAAATAAATCTTATATTACTACTTGACTGAAAATATAAAATGAAATGAATATTAATAATTGATTGCAAATAAAAATTATCCATAATTGACTAAAAAAAAAAGGAAATGTGCGTATCATTGCATTTTAATTAAAAATGGAATGGAAATTAAAAATTGGAGGAAATATTTCAATAATAATATTCTACATTATCAATAGTAAATGCATAGTAAAGCTAAATTAAAAATGGAACGGAAATATTTCAATAATAATACTACATCATCAATTAAAAATGGAACGAAAATTAGGTAAAAATATCACTGTATTTGATATTTCTAATTGACTGAAAATAAAAAGAATAATTGTCTGAAAATGAATCAGATATTTCTAATTGACTGGAAATATAAAAGGATAACTAATTAAGTAATATTCTACCATTATATATTTTCACCCAAGTAACCCGTCCTGATGGATTGAAGGTGTTAGCTCTAGACGAAGATGAACAAGATTGTGTTGCCACTAACAATGTTGTGTACAAAGAGGTTTCAATAATGTGTAAATATAATCGGTGATATTAAGTTTTTTTTTTAATGAAAAAATTGCTATATATCTAGAAAAAAAATATATCTTCCATACAAATGAATAATGATATCAATTCATTTCTTTAACTGGGTTATTAGAGAACAAGCATATTTGTCTAATTTATGAAAATACTAAACAATGATAAATAAAATTTTCAAAGTTATAGCACCGCATGCGTACATCTAGACATTAATTTGAGCAATTATTTGCATAAATTCAAATAATGACAACATCAAAATATATAAACGATTCAAACCATATCTTTAATTGCACTATATAATATTTGATGTTCTAATTTAAATAATTATATATCGATTCATATATTCTTAATATACTACAACAAATCCGTTTCGTGCATCGCACGAGTGCAAATACTAGTAAACACATAAAACACCACCACTTGTGAATAATCTCAAATACAAAATCACCAACATCATTTACATTGTAAACAATCAATCTAAATAGCAAATTCTATACACCAAAAACAATAAATCATACTGCAAAAATCAAATTATTCGCAAAAAGATCTGAAAACCATAAAAAATTGCAAAAGATCGAATGCAAATTAACAAAAATCAACTGCAAAAAAACCTGGAATCGTATGCAATCCATCAACTGCTTGATCTCTCTGATCTGTTGCCTCCTCCATCGAATAATCCATAAACGAAATCAGAACATCCTTGCGACTGCGATTGCAATTGGGATTCCAGAGATATTAACATCCAAATGTCAAACTGTCAAAATCCGGGAATAAAAAATTTGAATGCGAAAGAAAACCGCGCTATGCATAATGCCGTTAATAACCATCAAAAATAAAAAAAAAATTTAAAGCCGAACAGCGTCTTTAATTAAATTAAAAACGACGCCGTTTTGCAACCGCGTGCACCATACGCGGTACACGCGGTTGCACGGCATAATTTGCGACTATTGGATGGAAACAATTTTCTTTCTTTCCTCGAAGCCCTAACTTTCATTTCATTTCATTTCATTTTCATTCTTGAGAATGAAAACAAAGAGAAATGCTAATTTGTCTTCGTTTTCACTAACATGAGTTGGAGGAGAATAAGGACAGCAAGATCTATTCCCATTTCGGCCATTTTTGCGGCGGAAACAGAGGCAGGTACGGTTTCTTTTGAGCCCTCGCTGCGCGCTTTTCCTTCTCGCCCACAAACGGTTTCTTCGAATCAATCCAATTTCAAAAAAAACTCTAATGATTTAGACGATGCTCGAAAGTTATTCCGTCAAATGGCTCATACCAGGCCCTTGCCTTCTGTTATTCAGTTCAACAAGCTGCTTTGTAGAATTGTGAAATTGAAGCATTATTCCATAGTTGTTTCCCTCTTTCAAGAAATGCGCATTAAGGGCATCCCCATCGATGTGTATACCATTAGCATTCTGATGGATGTGTACTGCCGCTCAAGTCGAGTAGATTGCGGGTTTTGTGTACTTGGTGTGGTCTTCAAGTGTGGATTTGAGTTTGGTGTGGTCACATTCAACACTCTGATTAATGGCCTCGTTCTGGATAATAACATTGCGGAGGCTGTAGGGCTATTCAAGAAGTTGGTGAGGGAAAATGTGTGCAAAGTTGATCAAATTACTTATGGTATTCTTGTAAATGGGCTTTGCAAGGCAGGTCATACACAAATTGCTCTTGATTTACTTGTAGTAATGCAACAGGAGGGACCTAAGCCTGATACTATAGTCTATAGTGCTGTAATTGATTCTCTATGCAAAGATAGAATGGTTGATCAGGCTCTTGACCTTCTCTCTGAGATGATTGAAAGAGGGGTTCCCCCGAATATCTTCACATACACTTCACTGATTCAAGGCCTTTGCAGTTTTAGCCGATGGAAAGAGGTTACAAAGTTAATGAATGAGATGGTGTTACATAATGTATATCCAGGTGTGTATGTTTTCAATGTATTAATGGATGCCCTCTGTAAGGAGGGGAAGTTGGAAAGTGCGGAAACTATTATTCAGATCATGATTCAAAGGAAGATTTATCCTGATGTTGTCACATACAACACTCTTATTGAGGGTTACTGTTTGCAAGGACGGATGGATGAAGCGAGGAAAGCTTTTGGTCGGGTGGTAGAAAGTGGCCTTCAACCTAATGTTAGAACCTATAGCATATTAATTAATGGATACTGTAAAATAAAAGAAATGGATGAGGCCATGCATCTGTTTTGTGAAATGCCTCAAAAAGGGTTTCATCCTAATGTTATTACGTATACCACAATGTTGAAGGGGTTATTTCTGGTGGGTAGAAGTTCTGCTGCACGCGATGTATTCAATGACCTCATCTCTAAAGGGCAACGCCTAGATGTGGTTACATACAATGTAATGATATATGGGCTTTGTCGAGAAGGAGTTTTAGATGAAGCCTTAGAGTTGTTAAGGAAAATGGAGAAGAATGGTTGCTTACCAAATACTGTGACTTATAATGCTATTTTGCAAGAATTTGTTAGACAGGAAAAATGTCACGAGGCAAATCTACTTTTGGATGAAATGGTTGGTAAGGGTATTTCTCCAAATGAGTGCACGTTGTTCTTCATAAACGACTTACTTGCACTTAAAAGTGGAGATGAGACAGTACTAAAGGTGATGCAGAAATTTGCAGCAAATTGTGTAAAGTAACTACATATTTGGAATGTTATAGCTTCTCTGCTTGTTCATGGATTGCTACTTTTGGAGGAATGTTTTCAGAGATTTCACTCCCAGTTCATTTAGCACCTACTAGGGTGGACATCCAACTGACTGTAGGAAGTAGCAGTAGCTTTCAGATATTTAGTTGTGGGAAAGTAAGGTTCAAATGGCATTATCTGCAGGTCAAAATAATCCCTTTAAGTTAGTAGTTGAGAAAGCAGTATCTTTCATAAAAGGTTTGTGCTCCATCTTCTTGTTCAAATGTGTGCATATTTCTTGAGTCAAGTCTGTTAGTTGCAATAGTACGTTAGTGAAATATACTGTTATGTTTAACTAATGTGTTTTGAATATTTTTTCCAGCCTTTTCAAGAATACAGTAGTCAAATTTTATAATCTACTATTTCTTCTTAAATAAAATGTTTCATTAGTTTTTTCTTTTCTGAAAGTTTTTTAAGGACATTTCTTTGACATTTCCGATTCATCATTCTTGTATTTTGTCATCCTCAACTGCTGCATTTTGTTTTCTTGAGGTTCATTGCAAGTATTAAGGTTCATTGCAAGTATTATTTGCTTAAGCACTCTTAATTTACAGTTAAAACACCAAGTAGGCAGCTAGTGCTCTGTGTTAATGATAGTCTAATTCTTTTAATGATTTTAAAGGATTGGAAATATTCATCCACCGTCATTTTCAAGCTTCATTTTCAAGCTTCAACTAAATCATCATCATTTTGAAAATAAATTGTTAGTACATATGCACTAATGTTGATTGGCTCTCAATGTTATATATATATATATATATATATATATATATATATATATATATATATATTATACTGGCACTTTTTCCCCTTTCATTTCCTTTTGGCGGGAAAATAGTATACCTGCAAACTGGGAGGAGCTGCAGTGTTACTATGATCCTAAAAAACCAGTGTAAAATTCTTCAAAGATGTATATGTGTTATGTGTATACATATTGCCATTTCTTAAGTGCAACCCATGAAATGGTGTCAGTTTGAGGTGCCTTGGAATACGATACACAACTTTCAAGTGACATTCAATGTATGATAAACTCTTTTTATGGCTGGGGAGTAACATTTGTACCCATTTAGTGTACTAGAATACAAACCCAATGAAGATGCACTTATGAGATTTGGGGTCATTTTTTTTTTTTTTTTTTTAAATATTTTTTTTTATCATAGATATGGACAAAAGCAGTACATTCGAAGATTTTTGGGTCATGTTTTGTTCTTTTGTGATCATAGGTATGGACAAAAGTAGTACATCTAAAAATTTTGAGTGACAATTCCGAAGAAAAAATTAAGAGATGTTAGAATGCTCGTAGTAATAGAGTTTGTGGTGTTTTGAACCTAGTGACGTGACTATGAGGTGAGTGTTTGTAAATACAACTTTCTCCAAATGTGTATAGGCACATAATTTGAAAACATGATTGATCGAGAGACTTCAAGGAGGTGTTAATTTTTTCTTTCAGCCATTCCATTTTGTTGAAGGGTGACTAATATGAACAATTCTTTGATGTAGCAAGTATGAGCCAATAACTGAGCTATAGTATTCTAACCCATTATCAATTTTCTAAACTTGAACTCTTTGTTTGAATATATTTGTAATCATGGAATTTAACATTTAAAAAATTGATGTAGTTTAAAAATTTTCTTTCATGAGGAAAATTCATGTGGTCCTAGTATGATAATTAATGATGGATACAAATCATTTAGAATCACTAATATTTTTTTGCCTTTGACGGTCTCCAAATATCACTATGTATCAATGATAAAGGGTAAGAAGGTTTGTAAAGATCGCTTGAGTAAATAGTTTTGAGTACTGATATATCACTATGTATCGCTGAATGTACTTAGAGATCGGACTGATACTGCTGCTTTGGTTTTATTTCGAGACTTGGACCGACAGCTCTGTTTTCTTGATGATCAGCTTAATATATTTTGGCGTCAGAGAGCAAAACAATTTTGGCTTGCGAAAGGCGACCGAAATACAAAATACTATCATCTTTATGCCTCGGCAAGGAAACGAAAGAATCATATTGAAAAGCCCCAAGATGATACAGACCAGTGGATTGAGGGAGCTGATCTTCTAGGGCTTGCTATGAGACACTTCAAAAATATTTTCACTTCAAAAGGTGTGAGTACAACTGAAGCAATTCATGACTTCGTACCTAAAATTACTGAGAGTGACAACGAGCAGCTGTTACGGCCCTTTTCATATGAGGATGTCCGAGAAGCTATTATTTCTATGGCCCAAGATAAGTCTCCGGGTCCGGATGATTTTAGTCCAGATTTTTTCCAGCACTTCTGGGGTGAAATAGGTTAGGATGTATCCAGTTTTGTTATTGATTGTGCAAATGGCAGAGATTTTCCACTTAATTTTAATGATGCGTTCATCACTTTGGTGCCTAAAATATCTAAGCCTACAACTATGAGGGAGTTGCGGCCAATTGCGCTTTGCAATGTAAGTTACAAGATTCTTTCAAAAATGTTAGCCAACAGAATGAAGGAAGTTTTAGATAAAGTAATCTCTATTTCTCAAAGTGCCTTTCTCCTGGGACGATTAATCACGGATAATGTACTTGTTGCCTCCGAGATTATTCATTATTTAAATCGCAAACGAGAAGGTCGGGATGGCTGATGTGCTCTAAAACTGGACATTGCTAAAGCTTATGACAAAATGGAATGGTCATTTTTAAGAGAGATTATGGTTCGTATGGGATTTGACCAACGATGGATTAATCTTATTATGAGGTGCGTTACAACAGTTCGCTACAAGGTCGGGGTAAATGGTGATCTCACAGACTTTATTATTTCGACATGTGGGTTGAGACAAGGTGATCCTTTGTCCCCCTATTTATTTATTTTGTGTGCAGAGGGGTTGGCGCACTTAATCACTATGGCGACTATGAAGAAGATGTGGTCTCCGTGCATTGTGGCTCGAGGGGTTCCCGGGGTTTCTCACCTTTTTTTTTTTTTTTTTTTCAGACGACAGTCTGTTATTTTTTAAGGCCACAGTCCAAGAAGCTGAAACTGTTAAAAGTTGTCTTGTGTCTTATGAGCGTATGTCGGGGCAGTCAGTAAATTTTGATAAATCATGCATCGTTTTTAGTAGAAATACAGGAGATGAGAGGAAGAATGCTGTGGCTGCAGTTTTTAATATGGCACATTTTGGTAACATTGGGAAATATCTCGGTCTGCCAATGGGTATTGGTCGCAAAAAGAAGGAAGTATTCTCCTATATTGAAACTAAACTCCTTCACATGCTATGTGGATGGAATAAGAAGGTCTTGTCAAGGGCCGGGAAAGAGGTTCTACTAAAAAGTGTTGCTCAAGCATTACCCACTTACACTATGAGTATGTACTACCTCCCGATTACTTTTTGTGAACGGATTGAGAGAATTATGAATATGTACTGGTGGGCAACGAGTGGCACTCGTGAAGGGGGCATTTGGTGGATGGCATGGGGAAAAATGTGTAGGCCGAAAGCAAGTGGTGGTTTAGGTTTCAAGTGCCTAACCAAGTTTAATGTGGCTTTGCTTGCAAAGCAAGGTTGGCGACTGTTGACGCAACCTCTCTCACTAGCAGCACAGTTATACAAAGCAAGATATTATCCTCATGGTGATTTTCTTAATGCCAAGCTTCTGTTGGAGATCCATTTTGGCAGGTCAGAACTTCCTTCGTCAGGGATGCTACTGGCGAGTTGCACAGAACAATAATGGAATGAAGGTCAGTGAACTGCTTGACCCTCTTTTAAAGGACTGGAACACTGCTTTAATTATGGAGTTGTTTGAGCCGCGTGATGCAAATCTCATTTTAAAGATTCCACTAGCTCCCCAATTTGATGATAAATGGTGTTGGAAAGGAGATTTGAAGGGTTTGTACTCTGTCAAACATGGATACAGAATGTTGCCAACTGACAGTGAGCACCTGTAATTGGCTTCTAATGGTGTTTGGAAGCTAAAGATCCCTCCCCATGTTCAGAACTTTTTATGGAGGTGTCTCCATTGTATCTTTCCTACGTTAGTCACATTGGCTTCGAGACGTGTGAATGTGGATCTTCTTTGCCCCCTATGTAAGCATTTCCCGGAATCCTTACGCCATCTTTTTTGTGAATGCTTGCAGGTTGTTTCATTATGGAATGATCTTTTGGATTGCTCCCTACCTACAGATGATGAGGACTTTATTGATTGGTTGGCAGGGATATTAAAAGGCAATTCTGTTGTGACAAAACTAAGCAGTATAGCGATGTGGTGGTGTATATGGAAGGAACGTAATGAAGTGGTTTGGAATCAGAAAACATGGTCAAAGGTCAAAATGGATGTGCTGAGGTTGGTTCATGATTGGCAGCAACTGGAGGGTGAGTCTCATAATTCCCAGGTTCATACTCACAATAATTCTTGAACAAATTCCTCAAGGGTAACAGTACATGTGGACGCAGTTGTGTTCCATGGGACTAATCAAGCCACCTTTCGTGCTATTATTAATGATAATTCTGCGAATTTTATTGCAGCTAAAAATGGCCCGAGTCGATGTTTGAATGATGCCCATCTTGCGGAGGCGGTGGTTATTAAGGAGGCACTCTCGTGGGTGAAGGAAAAGGGGTTATACAAAAGTGATGGTTTTTTTTTTTACTGTCAATCTGTTTGCAATCTGATTAATAGCCATCAAGTGGACATATATATAAACTAATAAATAGCCTTTCAAGATAATTAAAATTTTTGATGTCTATGACGAAAATATCACAACGTAATTATACTCACTAGAAACAAAAACAGAATTGAAACAAGAATTAAAACCATAATTGAAAGCATAACTTGACTTGGGAACTTGTTTATTTGAAAGAGTGTTCTTGAGAATATAGAGCACCATAAACGTCAGCACTATCAATTACCTCCCCCAAGCGTACAACTTGAAATTCATAAAGATTAGGGTAGAATTTAGTCACACAATTCAAGTCTCTAGTGAGTTTATTGATAGAGAGCATGCTACAATTTTATTTAGAAACAAAGAGAACAGATGAAAGGAGAAGTTCGTCTGTTAGTTTGACATACCATATTCCTATCACGTTGGAGAGTGATCCATTAGCAATTTTGAACGTGGTGATATTATATATAAGTATTCGCTAATGATTTTGTAGTCTAGTGGCATGAAGTTGCTCTCCCATTCTCCCATATGGGAGATCATTGGTTCAAGCCTAATCTATACTATTATTAAAAACAAAATCACCCTTTCTTGAATTCCTGCCCAAACAATAGAAAGGAAAAATGGAAAAGGAAAACTTATTAATACTAAATACTAATCAGTAAAAAAGACTTCACTGATTATACTAATAATGTTAGCGGTGAAAAAAAATGGAATAGGAAACAGAATTCACTTAATAATAATAAGGTTACCAATAAAAAGGAAAATCTTACCAAAAATTACTAATTAATAATAATAATAATAATAAAGATCTGGAATTAACTTAATAATAATAAGGATCCGAAATTTAATAATAAAGATCTGGAATTAACTTAATAATAACAAGGATCCGAAATTCAAACGGTTTCAGGAAAATTTTACAAAAAATTACTAATTAATAATACTAAGATTTTGAAATTAACTTAATAATAATAATGATTTACTAATTAATAATACAAAGATTCTGCAATTAACTTAACAATAATAAAGATACGGAATTCAAGCAACCATAATATTCAGAAAAATTACTAATTAATGAAATGGATATGAGTATATGAAAGATTGTGCAAAAAAAGGGGGAAAGAATCGGTAATTCATACCAAAAGCACTATACATGCCGTTATTTTAGTATTAAAATTGCACTATAAATATTCTCAAAAGCAAATAAGAATTTTATCATTTAATATTTTCTATTCTTCTCTGATATTTATGCTATTTCTCCTTATTGTTTATAATGGACTTTGTTTTCATCTCTGCCTCTGACCTATCATGCAGGATGAGGAAAAACTCTATAAGGCTTCGGTTGATGCGTTGTTATTTGTCCAGAGAATATCAACGCGCGGTCAACCAACAAACACTCGAATGCTTATTCCATGATTCCAAGGTGAATTTCTCCTAATATAGTTATACTTCATGAACATCAAAATATAAATGTACCTCAAAATTTTGCAATAACTGACCAGCAAGTAATTAAATCTACAATCTACAATTATAATAAGAGCCAATTATGTTAGGCCCTTAACTGGAACAAAAAAATGTCGGTAGTATTGTTTCTTAAAATGAATGGTTTATATTATTTTGATTTTAGTTTTTTTTTAATGATTTTCCTTATTTACCCTCTATTATATTATTTTCTTCCCTTAAATAGCCTAAATTCTGTTAGTATAAACTTTAGTAACAGAATATTCCGTTAACTATTTATTATTTTTAACTAACTCATTAATTTCTATAAGAAAGGTCTTAGGTTCGAACTCATTCCAATTAGAGTTGGCATAATTGTTAAACATATACTACGAATATGTTAAAATATATTTTAAAAATATATAATATAAAATTTAACATAAACTTTGTTCAAATAATTAGTCTGGCTAAATACATAACATTCAAAGTTAAGCATCAAAGATTATAAATCAAAAACTTTAAAAATCATTTGATTTTTATGCATTTAAAAAAAAAAAACAAATTTAGGTTAAGTTTTTTTTTTTTTTTTCTTCGTTTAATTAATCTTCTTTTGAGTTTTTAGATTTGAACAAAACTTAATATTTCAATTATACTTTTGCATTATTGGTATGATTTAGGTCGTTATGGTATTGATATTTTTTTGTATGTATTTTTATAATGGTACAATTGTACATTACTTTACAAATATTACACTATTATTTTTTTATCGGACAAAATTGTTCTTGCATCATTATCAGGCTTGCGCGATCTAACTACAAAGTTATTGATCATAAATACAATTACGGAAAATTATGTTGTGCATCCATATGCACCCTGCATGGTGCATATGAATGCAAAAACGTCGTCGTTTTGCATAAAACGCGCGCCCTACTTAAAAAAAAAAAAAATCAGTTTCGATTCCCAGCAACAACATTATGTTATTCATTTTTAGTTCATTCATTTTGGATTTTTTAGTTATGAAATTCTGAAAGTGTAGTTATGCAATTCTGGAAGTGTAGTTATGCAATTCTGGATGTGTAGTTATGCAATTCTGGAAGTGTAGTTATGAAATTATGCATGTGTAGTGAAATTATGGATGTGTAGTTAGAGAATTCTGAATTATTATTATTTTTTAAAGTTAAACGCCAAAACGACGTCGTTTTTTCATCCGTATGCACCATGCATGGTGCATACGGATGCACATCATAACGCTTCTACAATTACACCTGGACTCTAAAACGGTAAAGGACCATTTTCTAACGAATTGATAATGTTGACATCACACTGGTTCCAATTGAACAAGTTTACACATTAGAATTTTATCAATGCATGAAAACTTCTAAAGAAATTTGTAAGTTAATTTTTACTATATCATTATAATAATATCTATTGTAACTATGAATTATTTATTATCATCCTCTATTGACAGGAATTGTAACAATTGTCATTGACAAACTCTCAAAACAATTTGTCTCAACAACGAATGTAAATTAAAAAAAAAAATCAATGATTTTATTATTGTTAATGGAAATGATATACGCCACTTTATTACTCTTATTAAATTAAATAAAGTAGTAGCTACAACAAAAAACAATATATATGCATTTAATTAATTTAGAATTAGATGTCTATAATGCCTTTATTTAAAAAAAAAATTATTCATTATAAAAAAAATTAAAAAGAGATATAATTTCATTAGTTATATTATCTTTAGTTTCTACAATTCAAAGATTCATTACATTCGAATTTATTAATTTATTATATTCACTACATTGTCCATTGTCTTCTTTTTACATTATCTTGTAATTAAATATCAAAGTTATGGAGATTTATTTTACCATATGTAAATGTTCTTCCCTAATCTTTTGTTATTTCCTTACCTTTATTTTCTTATTACCGTTGGATAGCTTTGTATATATATATGCTTTGGTTCCTTCATTCTTCATTACAATCAAGATATATACAATATATTTTTACACTCTCCAACATGGTATCAAGAGAAAATCTCTATATTCTATAAATTTTTTTCTTTCCAGTTCATCACATGGCTGAGAATTCCCAATCTTCTCCCATGGATGAAACTCTATCACTACAAGAAAAATCGCGAATTCCGTCGCGAAACAGCAAAATTCCGTCGCGAATCACGTTTTGCGACGGAATTCGTTCCGTCGTCTATCAGCTCGTTGTATTTTTGTACGCGACGGAATAATTCCATCGCAAAATATGGCGATGAAATTAGCAACGGAATAAGCCGTTGCAAAATTGCGACGGAACTTTTTCCGTTGCAAAATTGCGACGGAACTTTTTCCGTCGCAATTCCGTCGCATTTTGGCAACAGAATTGTTTTCCGTCGCATTTAGTGTAACATATATTTTGTCGCAATTCCATCGCATTTTTGAATTATATTTTTTTTTTAAAAAAAATATTTATAATTATTAATTTTAAATAGTAATATGAGCTTTTAAAATATTAATGTAAAACTATAATGACATAGTAAAACACAATTAATTATAAAAATAACATAATTCTAAAATATTATCAATTAACATTTAAGTTCAAGTAACAATACATCATCAATCCACATTTAGTAACTAAAAATAATCAATTCAAGTCTAAACAATAAAAAAGGATACATGTAATGAAAATCTACCACCTATAACCAACAAATAGTAAACCAAAAAAAAAAAAAAAAAAACCCAATGCTCATTTATCCGATGTAGCAGTCATTGTAGTAGTCAACCCTTTGAACTTAGGCAAAGACAAACCAATGCTAACGATGAGAATTCGCCGCGAAATTTTTAAGCCTGTACCATTTTCCACTCTCAACGTGTCTGGACCAATATATTCCTCCGATGACGTCAACATTCCAGCTTCCGGAGTCGCGTGAGCCGTGGCCCCAGTGTCAGGGTACCACGCCTCGGATGATGGTACGGTGGTGACCGGAGTCTCGCCCGAAACGGCGACATGCGCTTGCGCGGGTGGTTGTGTGGTGTACCGTTTGTAGCAGTAAATCGCAGTGTGGCCCTGCGCCCTGCAAATTTGACAACGTGGACCGCCACCACGCTGATTTCGGCCACCACCCCGCTGGTTCCGACCGCCACGGCCACCACGCCAGTTGTTCTGCCTGCCGCCTTCAGCACTGCCGTGACCACCCGAATTGCGTCCGCCACTCCCACTGCCTCGGCCAGCATAGAAGGCCGAGTGCGAACTGCTTCCGGCGCTGTCTGCAAAGTCATCAGCAAGGATGAAATCCGCGGCTTGCAGGTGATCCGCGAGATGTGGAAGCGAGACCGGAGCATGCGCCGTCAACGAAGCCGCATACGCCCTGTACTCCGGACGCAAGCCCCGTATCACGTACAGATTTTGCTCGGCCATGGAAAGGGGCTGACCGGCCTGGGCAAGCGCTTCCACCAACAGCTCTGCTTTTCCGAGGTAGTCTCCGGGTGTAGACGCCCCTTGCCGCAGCGCTTGAAACTGACCAAGCAGGCTTAAACACCGTGCCTGCGTGTTAGAACCGAGGGCCGTGCAAATGGATCTCCAGACGGCAGCGGCAGTGTCTCGGCCAACCG